GGGAGGGGGAGTGAAAAAAAAAAAAAAAAAAAAAACAGACTCCTGAAAAGGACACAGTAATCTAGGAAGGGCCCATGATCTAGGGTTTGGGTTCAGCACATTATAAAGATAGAAGCCATGGACAACAATCAAATCCAAGTTGCAATTTCAAAACAACCCACAAGAAACATAAAGTAGGTTTCCTCTGCTTGGTCCCATCTTTCACTGCAATACACATACCAATTACTCATTGCATGTTAATAAACAAGCCAGTTGTGCACTCCACCAGTGAGGTCACTGTGCAGACAACAATCAGGCCTTCCCCAAAACATCCTGGCACACTCTAGAGACATATTAGGGTGAAAGGCCTCTTACTCTCACACACCCACAGAAGCAAACAGAAGGCCCCTTTGCATGCACACACCTGCAAAGGTATGATGCACACATGAATAAAATGCTTAGAAGAAAGCCCCCTTGCACAAGCACACACACACGCACAAGAATAGTGGGGGCCCCCTTTGCACAAAAGCACTCACACCAGAGGAAAAGAGCCTGTCACCCACTCAGGAGAGGTGGATGGCCTGTATGTGTGCTGGGGCTCACAAACATGGGCGGGGAGGACAGCTTTGCAGGCACTAAGGCACACACAGGGAGAGGAAGCCTTTGGCAGGTGCACGCATACATACACACAGAATGATAGGGTGGATGGCCCCTTTTCACAGAGGCACGCAAGCCACAGGCTCCTCCTCAGCACACATGGGAATGTGCAAGCCTCTCCTTGGCATGCACATGTAGGGAGGGCTACAAGGCCCTTCCTTGGCACAAGCATGTGCACACACAGGTGTAGGGCCACAAAGCCTCTCCATGGCATAGGCATGTGCAAACATAGGTGCACACAAGTGGGGAGGATAAGGCTCCCTGGTGTTCACAGGTGTGGGGGTCCCAGGCACCTGACATGCACAATGCACAACAATGAAGGTACCAGGCCCTAGGCACACATGGTGCACACAGGTGGGTGAGGGGACTGCCAGGCCCTAGGCACACATGGTGCACACGGGTGGGGGAGGGGACTGCCAGGCCCTAGGCACACATGGTGCACACAGGTGGGTGAGGGGACTGCCAGGCCCTAGGCACACATGGTGCACACGGGTGGGGGAGGGGACTGCCAGGCCCTTGGCATGCGTCCATGCTCTAGGGGGAGGGGTTACTGGGCTTTGAGGAGATTGGGGCGCCCCATGCTCTAGGGGGAGGGGTTACTGGGCTTTGAGGAGATTGGGGCGCCCCATGCTCTAGGGGGAGGGGTTACTGGGCTTTGAGGAGATTGGGGCGCCCCATGCTCTAGGGGGAGGGGTTACTGGGCTTTGAGGAGATTGGGGCGCCCCATGCTCTAGGGGGAGGGGTTACTGGGCTTTGAGGAGATTGGGGCGCCCCATGCTCTAGGGGGAGGGGTTACTGGGCTTTGAGGAGATTGGGGCGCCCCATGCTCTAGGGGGAGGGGTTACTGGGCTTTGAGGAGATTGGGGCGCCCCATGCTCTAGGGGGAGGGGTTACTGGGCTTTGAGGAGATTGGGGCGCCCCATGCTCTAGGGGGAGGGGTTACTGGGCTTTGAGGAGATTGGGGCGCCCCATGCTCTAGGGGGAGGGGTTACTGGGCTTTGAGGAGATTGGGGCGCCCCATGCTCTAGGGGGAGGGGTTACTGGGCTTTGAGGAGATTGGGGCGCCCCATGCTCTAGGGGGAGGGGTTACTGGGCTTTGAGGAGATTGGGGCGCCCCATGCTCTAGGGGGAGGGGTTACTGGGCTTTGAGGAGATTGGGGCGCCCCATGCTCTAGGGGGAGGGGTTACTGGGCTTTGAGGAGATTGGGGCGCCCCATGCTCTAGGGGGAGGGGTTACTGGGCTTTGAGGAGATTGGGGCGCCCCATGCTCTAGGGGGAGGGGTTACTGGGCTTTGAGGAGATTGGGGCGCCCCATGCTCTAGGGGGAGGGGTTACTGGGCTTTGAGGAGATTGGGGCGCCCCATGCTCTAGGGGGAGGGGTTACTGGGCTTTGAGGAGATTGGGGCGCCCCATGCTCTAGGGGGAGGGGTTACTGGGCTTTGAGGAGATTGGGGCGCCCCATGCTCTAGGGGGAGGGGTTACTGGGCTTTGAGGAGATTGGGGCGCCCCATGCTCTAGGGGGAGGGGTTACTGGGCTTTGAGGAGATTGGGGCGCCCCATGCTCTAGGGGGAGGGGTTACTGGGCTTTGAGGAGATTGGGGCGCCCCATGCTCTAGGGGGAGGGGTTACTGGGCTTTGAGGAGATTGGGGCGCCCCATGCTCTAGGGGGAGGGGTTACTGGGCTTTGAGGAGATTGGGGCGCCCCATGCTCTAGGGGGAGGGGTTACTGGGCTTTGAGGAGATTGGGGCGCCCCATGCTCTAGGGGGAGGGGTTACTGGGCTTTGAGGAGATTGGGGCGCCCCATGCTCTAGGGGGAGGGGTTACTGGGCTTTGAGGAGATTGGGGCGCCCCATGCTCTAGGGGGAGGGGTTACTGGGCTTTGAGGAGATTGGGGCGCCCCATGCTCTAGGGGGAGGGGTTACTGGGCTTTGAGGAGATTGGGGCGCCCCATGCTCTAGGGGGAGGGGTTACTGGGCTTTGAGGAGATTGGGGCGCCCCATGCTCTAGGGGGAGGGGTTACTGGGCTTTGAGGAGATTGGGGCGCCCCATGCTCTAGGGAGAGAGGGTTGCAAGTTCTGAGAAGAGCAGGGGGGGCTGGCTCCTAAAGGGGAGCACAGAAAGTCCCATTGCTCTGGGGGGGGCAGATCTGGAGATGAGCAGGGCAGGCGGGACCCCCAAATTATGCCACTACAGGATTCTACAGTATCTGTCAGTCTATTCAGTTTATCAAAAAGAAGACTGGGAGATAACTTGATTACAAGGCATAAATACATTCAAAGGGACTGTGAGGCTTAATTCTATCACATTTATAAAAAGGTTTTAAGATTTTCAGATGAAAGATACCATAGAAAAGCAATATATTATTGTGGATAGTACAAGAACTACCAGATTTATTGCAATATGCATCTAGGGTTCTCAAACACCAAGACAACATCAATGTAACATGTAGGCTGTGTCTACACTGGGCCACTTATTCCGGAAAATCAGCCGCTTTTCCAGAATAAGCTGCGAGCTGTCTACACTGGCCCCTTGAATTTCTGGAAAAGCACAGATGATCTACTGTAAGAAATCAGCTGCTTTTCCGGAAAAACTATGCTGCTCCAGCTCGGGCAAAAGTCCTTTTTCCAGAAAACTGTTCCGGAAAAGGGCCAGTGTAGACAGCACAGTAGTGTTTTCTGCAAAAAAGCCCCAATTGCGAAAATGACGATCGGGGCTTTTTTCCAGAAAAGCACATCTACATTGGCCACAGATGCTTTTCTGGAAAAAGGGCTTTTCCAGAAAAGCATCCTGCCAATGTAGACTCTCTTTTTCGGGAAATACTTATAACGAAAACTATTCTGTTCTAAGCATTTCCGGAAATTCATGCCAATGTAGACACAGCCATCCTGTGTAAAGTCCCTGATCATTTCCAGCTGTTCTGGGCTCTTTTGAATCATTCATATTGATCACTGATGCATTTTTAGGTAATTGTTATTTGGTCTTTGGTGGGGGGCTGTGGCAGGAGGCAGGGCTGTGGGGCATGAAGTGGAACTGCCTGCCAGGGATAGGTAAGAGCTGCAGGGATGAACACTCTGCACTTCAGGGGTGCTGCAAAAAGGTGAGTTCCATGGGTCCTGTGCAGTGCTCAGGCACAGAAGTTGGATTCCAGCAGCTCCATCCCCACTGGGTGAGCATTGCAGGGCTTGGCCAGGACCCAGCTCAGACATTAAGAATTAGGACAATGTCCACAAACTCACAAAAGCACATTAACTGTCTTTATGGAATGCTTCCATTGGAAGTATGCAGAACGAAAATAGTTGAACTCACTTCTTCTGACAGCAGTGCAATTTCTAGGCAGAGGTAAAAATAGTAGGCATGACACACAAAATAGTCATTGTGACAGTCTGCACAGATAATTCCTGCCTTCTTATTGCTTGTTTTATTAGCAGGATACAATGAAGATAACATCCTCGAGAAGGACTTTACGGTTGGATAACAGCACACCATGGGAGTCTTAGTTCCATCAGTACAGGCAATGGTGCATACTGCCTGCTATCTTACTCAAGATAGGTCAGGTGAGATCAGTTCTTTAGAGAGAAACTGAAAGAAAAAAACAGGATGCTGCAAGAAGACATGCTGCTGATTCAGGAGGTGGTAGTCTTCTTTCTGAATCAGTAAGAAAATAATACCGTAGCCTGATTTTATGAGCCACAGTAGCATTGATTTTGTAGAGGTGGTCATTAAAGATCCCATTGCACTTTTTGCAAATCCAGTGTTAATCTCTATCCCCGCCAGATTCCAGCCTGGATTGATTATTTATTGATTGATTGATTTATAGGTGTCCTGACCAGGATCAGGGTCCTGTTGTTCACAAATATAATGAAAAATGGTTCCTGTCCTAAAGAATTTACAATCTAACTATATGACACAAAGGTAACAGGTAGATACAATAAACAGAGGGATGGGATGGGTTAGGAGCACAAGGTAAAAGTGCCCTCTTCAGATGAATACAGGATTCCCCCTCATTTTATGATTCACAGTTAATCTAAATTACACCAATGTTAATCTGAAATAATTTCAGTGGAGTCACCACAGAGTTACACTACTGTAGCAGAGAAAGCTCTTATTTCACCTAGTAGAAAAAGATATGCCAGATGCAGCTTCTGGTGCCCACTCCTATTTGCACTGCAGTCAATAGGAGTTTGTTACAAAAGGTATAGAGTAACTGTTGCTGAGTTAGTTGCCACTGAGCAAGCTACAAGGGGAAATCAAGGGAGCTGTTTGTGCATTTGCAGGATTACCTCTCAATTGAAGAACCAAAGGAGACAATCTGGATCTGTTGCAAAATTAGAAGACAAACTGAATGTATGCTGGAATTAAGAGATCACAGAGGGTATGTCTACACTACCCTCCTAGTTCGAACTAGGAGGGTAGTTCGAACTACCTAGTTCTTGCCGCGTGTAGCCGCACGGCACGGGGTTCGAACCAGCCGGGATTTAAAAATGGCGGCGCCCGGCTTATGCAAATGAAGCCCAGGAAATTCAAATCCCGGGCTTCATTTGTAAAGTGCGGTATGCCTACATTACCCTGCTAGTTCGAACTAGCGGAGTAGTGTAGACATACCCAGAGAGAATTAAAGGTGTGCAATAAATGAGAATAGATATGCCTTCCTCTATGAGCCTGCATGCATGTAAATCCAAAATTGCCTCTAGATGGGGAAAACCTCCTTGGCATCTGTTCAGCAATGTGTAGACGCAGACTATGTTATTCTGGAATAATGTCAGTTATTCCAAAATAACGCTGCTGTTTAGACATAGCCTCACTGAAAATTAAGTTTAATTTTCAGTGAGGCTATGTCTAAACAGCAGCGTTATTTTGGAATAACTGACATTATTCCGGAATAACATAGTCTGCGTCTACACAGCAAGCAGTTATTTTAACATAATGTTGAAATAATGTCGAGCTGGAGGACTTCTTACTCTGACTCCTGTAACCCTCATTTTACAAGGAGTAAGGGAAGTCAGAGGAAGAGTGCTTTTTCTTGGACTTCCTGCTGTGTGGACAGCGCCAAAAGCCAAAATAAGCTATTTCGACTTACGCTACACAATTGATGTAGCTCGAGTTGCATAGCTTATTTTGGCTTCAGCCCTGCTGTGTAGACATGCCCTGAGGCCAGAACATGATTTGCTTAGGCAATATATGAGACTTTGTATAAGCAACTCCTACAGAATGGAAGGGTAGGAATAGTTTGTTGGATTGCCCTGCCTCCAAGAGTTCTGGAGGTTCTGCTTTTGTGTTCTGATCATTGAAGGATAGGGGGTATAGCAGTCATCCCTGGATAAAATCTTGCCTGGATAAAATATTGAAATCAATTGGACTTTTACCATTGACTTTGGTGGAGCTAGAATTTCACTCCTTGTTTCATATTGGAACTATTTGATCGATTACAGGGCTGATCTGGTGATGTGATTGAGAGGAGGATTTGACTCATATTTGTCCTTTTAATAGGCCAAGGTCTCAAAAACAAAATAAATTTATGTTGGAAATATTTTCAAACTACCCAAAACCCAAGAAATTAAAATGCTTATCTCAGGGACAGCTTTACTTCTAGGCAGCATCCTCTACAGAGTAACTAGGGCTGAATCTAGGAAGAAAGCACCTTGTTCATCTCAAGAAAAATGCCCTTTACTTTAGCTCAGTGTTTTTCTCATGAGCTTTCCTTCTATTGAACTTCTAGTTGTGTAGCTCTCACCATTTAACTAGAGCCATTTAACTAGCTCTACAAGGAATCTTTTTAGTTATTGATTTCTCTCCATTCAAATCTGGGATTCAAGATACTTGAGCAGCCAAGTAAAAGTCTGAATTCCATCCAATCAATTTAAAAGCATGTTTTAATAGATATGAATGATACTGCAAACTAGGGTCAGGATTAACTGCAGTAGTCTACCCATTCTTGGTGCCTTTAACTTTGTCTCTATATTTTTTTTAAATGCTCCAGAGTAGGGATTGGAGAGGATGCAAAGAGCATAAAGGTGAATTCAGAAATAAATGAGATGTAGCATAGCATCAGAATAGATATGTATCTATTTAATCTGTCTAGTGTTTATTATACACTAGTGTTTCTCAACCTTTTTTTATAAAGTACCCTCTTTTTCAAAAAAAAAAAAATTATAAGTACCCACAGTACGTGCAGTTTTCAGACACACACAAAATTTTCTACCATTGTAACACATTTGTTTATTCAACTTAATCGTAGCTGGTCGGGCAATGACATTTTTGGGTCTAAAAAGTACAAAAATAATAAAGCACTGTAAAACTTAAAATCAAAATTCAGTTTTCTCAAAATTTCAGTTGTTTTGATGTACACTCCCCTCCCCAGACTTCTCTCAAGGACCTCTGAGGGTAGTTGTACCACTGATTGCGAAACACTGTTATACACCAGTGCCTATGATATGATGCTATCACATCATAAAACAAGCCACAAACTCATGAGTCAAGATGAGAATCAAATTCTGAAGTCTTGAAGGTGAGGAGAAGGATCTTGAATTTCATGCAAAAACAAAGAGATGGTCACAGCTTGCACTGACACTAACAATGTCAGAAATAATTATTATTTATTATTTGTATTAAGATAACACATAAAAGCCCCAGTTACAGATTAGGCCCCTTTTGCGCCAGATACTGTAGGACACAGAACAAAAAAGATGTTCCTTTCCTCAAAGAGCTGCCAATCTAAACAGAGACCTTCAGCCTCCAGCCCTGTTCACTAAAGAAACAATGTTTTTCAGTAGATTGAATTTAACTGCTTAAGAGAGTTGGAGATATTTGCCTGCCAAGACCAGAATATAATCAGGAGAGAGACAGATGGATCCACCTCTCAAAATATTGTAGACAGAGACAAGGAAGCGTGCAATGTAGCAAAATGTCTGTTTTAATGCTCCCACTAATATCAGTTACTGATAATATGCAAATGGTACTAAGTAATAATAACCATTAATATTGTTGTTTGATACTAATTAACATCAGTGGTTCTCATTCTTTGTTATACTACAAACCATTTTTCTTATTTGAATCAGCCCAAGAGTCCCTTCCATTTAACAATATAGGAAAAGCAATCTGGTTGCAATCCACAGTTTGAGAACACGTGACTTAATTATTATGTTGCTTTTGCATAGTTCCTTTCATCCAAGCATTTCAAGCTGGGACAAAAATCTGTTTGAATCCAGTCCCACATACGGAAAAACAGAAGAGAGAGAATCATTTTTTAAAAACTCAAGAGCATCTTATTTAAATTTTCTATTGAAAACCATGACACCTTACATGAGGACTCTAGCTGTTTGTGCAATATGAAGTGTTGTTGCCATGTTGGTCCCAGGATTTTTGAGAGATAAGGTGGGTGACGTAATATCTTTTATTGGATCAACTTCTGGTAGTGAGAGAAACAACAGAAGTTGGTCCAATAAAAGATATTACCTCACCCACTTTGGCGCTTAGGTTAATGAAATGTCTTATTCAGACCTCAAGAGGGTGCTCTGACACTTTTTGCTCATGTTCTCTCCCGTTAATGCAAGCTAGGATATCTATATCTACTCTGTTTAAAATGACAGGCATTTGCAAACATGAAAGAGCTTCACATTCTTTAAAGTACTGGTAAAATGAAACAGGATTCACACAATAGAGCATGCACAAATGAATGGATGTTTTCTTTTGGAAGGGAATTAACCAGCATAAGTATATACTAAACTCATCTGTTGATTTTACCTGATCATAGAGTATCATCTTAATGATCCATTAGTTAGTTCACCTACCTAAGAAACAGCACTTTCCTCATTTCTTCATTTCCTGCCTCTCTAGCTATGTTTTTCTCTCTGGATGCATCTAGGCAGCAACCTTCTGTCGGAATAAGCTATGCAATTTGCGCTATGCAAATTGCGTAGCTTATTCCAAGTGTAGGTCGAAAGAGCTTATTTAGAAATTTGGTACTGTGTTTTGATAGCACCAAATCTGAAAATAAGACACTATTCTGACGTTTGCTCTTCCGCAAAAAAAAGCAGAAGAGCAAACATGTTCCCTGGACACAACAAGAGTTTTTTCAGGATACCTCTGATAAATAGGCAGGCATACCAATGGTATCCCAAAAAAAATCCACAGTCTACCCATACCCTATGTCAGAGGAAGAGCTTCTCCTGCAGACATAGCTACTACTGCTCATAGAGGTAGTTTTATTACGCCAATAAGACTTGCTCTCTCCCATCGGCATAGAGCAGCTGCAGCAATCTTACAGTGGCACAGCTACATTGGTCCAGCTGTGGTTCTATAAGCTGTCTAGTGCAGATATGGCCAAAGGGCTTGTCTACACATACAGTGCTGCAGCTGCACCACTGTAGTGCTTTAGGGAAGATGCTACTATGCCAACAGGAGAGCTACTCCCATTGGTGTAGTTAATCTACCTCCTCAAGAGGTAGTAACTATATCAATGGGAACAGCTCTCCCATTGATATTGTGCTGTCTACATGGGGGACAGGGGAGAGAGGCTTAAGTCAGTGTAACTATGTCACTGAGGAGTATCAATAAAGGTCTGCAGTGTAGATCTGGCCTTAGAGTTGGCTCTTACCACATCTGCTCTGCCAGGGTCTCAGCGTTGCCTGCCTATTTATCAGCTTCTTCCATATCATAGAATCCCAGGGCTGGAAGAGGACTCAAGAGGTCATCGAGTCCAGCCCCCTGCCCAAGGCAGGACCAATCCCAGCTAAATCATCCCAGCCAGGGCTTTGTCAAGCTGAGACTTAAAAACCTCTAGATATGGAGATTCTACCCCCTCCCTAAGTAACCCATCCCAGTGCTTAACCACCCTCCTAGAGTGAAATAGTTTTTTCTAATATCTAACCTAGAGCTCCCCCACTGTAACTTGAGACCATTGCTCCTTGTTCTGCCATCTGTCACTACTGAGAACAGTCTCTCTCCATCCTCTTCGGAATCTCCCTTCAAGAAGTTGAAGGCTGCTATCAAATCCCCTCTCAATCTTCTCTTCTGCAGACTAAATAAGGTCAAATCCCTCAGCCTCTCCTCATAGATCATGTGCTCCAGCCCCCTAATCGTTTTGGTCGCCCTCCACTTGACCCTCTGCAATGCGTCCACATCCTTTCTGTAGCGGGGGGCTCAAGAACTGGACACAATAATCCAGATGTGGCCTTACCAGTGCCGAATAAAGGGGAATAATCACTTCTCTGGATCTGCTGGCAATGCTCCTCCTAATGCACCCTAATATTCCATTTGCCTTCTTGGCTACAAGGGCACACTGTTGACTCATATCCAGCTTCTCATCCACTATAATCCCCAGGTCTTTTTCTTCTGAACTGCTGCTTACCCATTCGGTTCCCCAGCCTGTAATAATGCTTGGGATTCTTCCCATATGTCCCCTGAACACAGTTCAACTTCCACAAGTTCATCCTCAAGGCACTATCCTGTTTTCATCTAATCCCCTTTTAAAGACTCACTTCTGCTATGCTGCCTATAGTGAATCAAGTTATATATATATATGAGGCACTACTGTCAGTTACTTACTAGTGGTATTTGGATAAGGTTCAGTACAATTTTTTCTGTATTTTGATGAATAATACTAATGTTTATTTGTGAGCATTTAAAAAATATTTGTCTATTTAAATTTTCAGTTTCACAGAGATGCTGCAGGGGGCTCCCTGCGCATCAGATCAGATGGTCAGAAGGGCGTGGGATTCTTGATCCCTGGAGGTGCTAGGTGAGGTGAAGGCTGCACTAGCCAGGTAAAGCAGAGTTTGCACCCATTCCAGCAGAGTCCTTGCCCACTTTGCTTACAACAGATCAATACGTGGGTGGGATCCTTAGTCTAGAAGAAATAAAGCGTACGCTGATGATGTCTGGCATATAGGCAAAATGATGGATAGTAAAGAGGAAGTACTTGAGCTCCCTTTCTCTTTCATTAGTGTAGGGTCTAAAGATGTAGCCTGTGTTCTCCCCAGTGCTGCTCTGCATGAACCCACAGGTTAATGTATAGGAGTGCCCCCTCTCTATTTGGGCCCCCAACTTGATACAGGGGCTAACCCATTGTAACTCATTCTAGAAATGCTCTTTGTCCCATTTGGTACTTTCCCATCAGTTTATAATATTTGCAATGATGCTGCCCAATGGAAACATGACACTGGTGAGGATATGAAGAATCCCCTGTGCTCTGTGGAGACCAGATCCCTGAGTTCTCTCTGTGCTATCATGCAATAGGGAGACATGGAAGGTGGATCAGAAAGGAAGTGGTGGATCCACCCATACACAGCTCCACAGATCATTATTTCCCATGATGATCAGCACCAGCAGTGGGTGCAGGAGCAAGCTCTACAGCCAAGGATGGAACGAGCCCTTCCTTTGTGGGAGCCTGTTACCCCACATCCAGCCCAACCTCTCAGGGTATGTCTAAAGAGCACACTAACCCCAGGATCTGACTCAAGTTTGAGCCCAAACCTCCCTTCTGTCCAGACAGAAATTAGTTTGACTTAGGTTAGGAGCCCCTCTACTCAGGACACAGACCCTACTAGCAGTAGGTCAGAGCCTAAGCCCTGATCTACACTAGGGAGTTAGTTCAAAATAACCACCCCTTTATTTCGAAATAATAAACAGAGAGCCTACACTACCAAGTCTTTTTTTGAGGAGTACAGGATCTTTCGAAATGGGGCATTTCTGTTGAAAATGCCCCATCTTAACTGCCAGGTTTTTTCAAAAAGCCCCGTTTCAAAAAAAGCGGCGCCCGTCATTATGCAAATGAAGCATGGGCTATTTAAATCCCAGCTTTATTTGCACTTTCAATGTGTCTCACTTACATCCCTCTGCCGACAGAGGGGTATACTTTAGCCACATCCTGAGTGAGATTCCCTTTGGTGACTCATTGAGCCCGATCAAGCCAAAGTTTTATATTTATTATTTTCCTAGATACTGACTATTCTGAACTAGCTTTGCTTCTTCTAACCCTGCTTGGAAAAGGTGCTGTAGTAAGTTCACCATCAAGCAAAACCAGATCCCTTTTATAGTAAACTAGAAGATTTACCTGGTGTTGCTCAGGTCCTTAACTCAAATAAGTTTTGTTTTTCTTCATTTAATCAAAAAATGTTCTGGGCAGTTTGGAGCCAGGTGAAAAGAGCCTGTCCATGGGTGCTGCAGCTCCAGTGGGCACAGCTGGGGGAAGTGTGCATGTCCCCTGGCTGGGGGGCAGACATACACACAGATAAACAGACACACAATCAGACAAATTATCTGAAATATATAGTAGATAACTATCCCTTTCGCCATACCTGTCCTCTGCTGGCTCAATGGGGTTATAGCTGTCCCCGTCCCCATTCCTGGCTCCTTGCTGCCCCCCGTGATCATTCTGCAATATAACTGTCCCTCCTACTAGACCCCACCCTTTCCATTTTATGAGAAACAATTGAATTCCAGGCATATCCCATTGTCCTGGCACAACCAAACTTTGACTTTGTTTTAAATTCTGACAAGAGGAAGCAGCATACCAAATGTGGTGGTCCTAGCTCTTACCATTTAGAATGTGTTCTTGAACAAACAGACTCATAGACAGAAGGACAGACAGACATATGCACATTTTTAAAAAGTTTAACAGAGAGACATTCCAGTGCTCCAGTAATATCCCCGTAGTGAGTCAGCATGGCCTCCCACTGACCCAGAGGTGGAAACTCTCCTCAAAATCTCTTGGTGGGCAGTACCAGAATCACCCAGCCCCGCCCACAGGAAACAGGAAGCTAGGGCTGGGGGTATAAGAAGGGCAGCTCTCAGCTCAGTTAGAGCGCAGCTGCCAAGCAGGGCAGAGGCTCTTCCCCGGCCACAGCGGAGGAAGGCCCGGCCAAGCCGCGCTCCACAGGACGACTGGGTCGGACTGCCAGGGTTGCTACTGGGCCCTAAGTCCAGGCCTAGACTGCCCCAGCCATGGCTGGACCTGGATCCCTGGACACCTCTGAGTGGGACGGACCACTGGGACCCTTACCTGCCCTGGATCCCATGCCTATGAACATGCTGCCGGTGCCTCCATCCACAACTGACACTACGGAGCTGTACCTGAGCCAGGTGGACACCCCGGGGGGATGGGGAAGTGGCCCAGGGACAGCTGACCCCAGGGCAACTGAGGACATGGAGGTCAGCTGGGCAGCATGTTCTAGCTTGGAGCCCCGCTGACCCAGTGACCCAGACGGCGCCTTACGACTTGGAGCCCTGCCAATCCAGTGGCCGTGGTGCTGCCACTACTAGGGCCCTGGACTGGGACATGGTGGAGTAGGGAGGGCCCGCGTCCCCCCCGCTACTCCTTTCTTTTGGTGGGGCAGATTCCCCTGCACTTGTCGGCTCCCCGCTAGTGGACTTACGCCAGTGGACTTTCAGATTGTTTGACTATTTGTTCGCTGCTTTGTCCTGACTCAGGGCCTTGGCTCACAAACTGTTCTGCAGCCCTCCAGACTACTGTTTAACTGTTAATTTGCCACTTGGCCCTGACCCAGAGTGGGTTACTAGAACTGCTAATAGGCCAGCAGTCAGGTTCTTGAGGCTCCGGACTCGGAGCTTACCATGAGACAGCATGGCATCCCACTGACCCAAATTATTACAATCCCATTTTACCAATGTAACACCTAACAACTCATTTTTTATACCAGTGATGTAGACCATGTAGGCAGGGGGCAAAACAAGACTCTGGACCCAACTCTCATGTGTATCATTCTAGCAGTGCACAGAGTGTAAATATAAATTAGACCGACAGTAAAGTAGAGCTGATTGAAAATGCATTTTCAGTCCTGCAAAGTTAACTGAGATTTCAAAAAACATTCCTCCTAATTCACAATGAAAAGGCAAAATTTTGATTCTGTAAAACAAAAATCTGAAAAAATAGTTTTTTGCCAATCAAAATGTTTCTGTTCAGTGAATTTGAAATGTTTCATTGCAGTTTCAACCCTTTGATTTATTTTATTATAAAACAAGTTTTGAAATGAGAAATTAAAACATTCCTAAAATGTAAAAAAGGCTGTTTCAGCATTTTCAAAACTGTCAAAAATTTTGTCAAAATTGATACACTTCTATGAAAAATGTCAATTTTGACTACATGGTATTTTCTGATGGAAAACCGTTTTGATGAAAATTTTCTAACCAGCTTTACTGTTGAGCCCTTTTACACTATTGGAGTAGCGTAAGTGGGATAGTGTAAGGAGGAATTGTCCTCCCCTCGCCTCTTTCATTCTCTGGGTCACACACACACTCTCTAAATAAGGATTATCTTGAGCTCTGCTATTTTCCACTCATACTGGAGATGGCCTGGCATAGATCAATTGGCTAATTGAAACACAAGCCCGTACAACTGAAGCAATCTGCTTCCATTGCACAATGAGTAGTCATGCTCAGTGGTATTACTTGTAATTACCAGACTACTGGGAGTCAAGGACCTGTTTAAAAGGGCCATGCAAATAGAAATGTTGTAAACCTTGCATGTTAGAACTATTGGTGGAGATTCCAGGGTGCTTTAGGCAGAAACATTGTATGGGACTGATTCTGCTTCTGGCTTTGCCATAGACTCAAGCATGTCACCTCCTCTTTCTGCGTGCCTCAGTTTCCTAACCTGCTATGTAAAAATTGAGAGTACTCCACAGGAGAGTCATGAGCTTTAATTTATTGCTATTTGTAAAGAGCTATGAAATCTTCAGATGGAAGATATTTGGATAGATGGAAGATATTCCCCTTTATTCGGCACTGGTGAGGCCACATCTGGAGAACTGCATCCAATTCTGGGCCCCCCCACTACAGAAAAGATGTGGATGCATTGGAGAGGGTCCAGCGGAGGGCAACCAAAATGATTAGGGGGCTGGAGTACATGACCTACAAGGAGAGGCTGAGAGATTTGGGCTTATTTAGTCTGCAGAAGAGAAGAGTGAGGGGGGATTTGATAGCAACCTTCAACTTCCTGAAGGGAGGATCCAAAGAGGCTGGAGAGAGGCTGTTCTCAGTAGTGACGGATGGCAGAACAAGGAGCAATGGTCTCAAGTTACAGTGGGAGAGGTCTGGGTTGGAAAAACTATTTAACTCTAGAAGGCTGGTGAAGCACTGGGATGGGTTACCTAGGGTTGTGTTGGAATCTCCATATCTAGAGGTTTTTAAGTCTCGGCTTGACCAAGCCCTGGCTGGGGTGCTTGAGTTGGGGTTGATCCTGCTTTGGGCTAGGGGCTGGACTCAATGACTCCTGAGGTCTCTTCCAGCCCTAAGATTCTATGATATTTAATAAACACAAAATGGAAGAAGACCAAAAGGCAGCGAGAGGTTCAAATGCCAATGAAAGTAAACAGCAACTGGGTACCTAACTCCCTCCAGAATTATCAGTGTGATATTAGTAAGTCTTGAATTGTGACTTATAACTAACAGTCGTGTATTTATTTTTCAAATGTAGTAAAATCAGTATGGGCACTTTCCATGGCCCTCATTCAGCTTAACACGTAGTCACATACTTGACTTTAAGCACATGCTTAACTCCCATTGACTACAGCAGGAGAAGGGCAGAGGAAAGATGATTTTAAAAGTGAGGAGAAGCGGCTGGGAGGATCAGATGGGAAGGTCACAGAAATTACAGTATAAATGGAACTATAGAAGGAGGGTGAGGTGTCAGGGGGGTCCTAGTTCGGTCTGTACCAGCAACAGAGGAATGCAAACCAGAGCAAGGCTGTGACCTCAGATCAGGGATGACGATAATTTTTGTTACGTGGTCAAGGGCTGCACTTTTCTATGGCCAGGGTGTGGGGTCTGGGATGGAGGTTGGGTGCAGAAGGGAGCAAGGGTTAGGGGACTGGGGACCAGGAGAGGGGTGTGGGGTCTGAGAGGGAGTTTGGGTGAAGGAGGAGGTTGTGATCTGGGGCAGGGGATTGGGGTGCAGGGACGGGGCAGGAGTTGTGACCAGAGGTGGCAGGATGTGTGTGTGTGTGCAGAGGGTTTGGGTGGTGACCTGTAGCAGGGAGTTGGGGTGCAGGAGGAGATGGGGTGCCAGAAACAGGCTCTGGCTGGGAAGCGGTTACCTAGCTAGGTATCTCCCAGCCAGCAGCCCAGCGGGACCCTCAAGTAGACTCCCAGCCTGCTGCAGCCTCAGGCTACCCAGGGACTGAGAATCATCCGGAGGCTAACTGCGGATTGGAAGAGATGAGTTAATAGAGAACTCCTCCCTATACCTAGGCCTGCTAGCAGCATCACTTACAGCTGATGAAGCAGTCATTACAGCAACACTACCACTGGTAATGATAGATACTATGTATTAGTAGCTTTGAATTGTTGGCATCTCCTTATTTGAATTTTCTTTTTATTAGCAGGGTGATGAGGCCTCTTCCAAAATCTCTTGAACCCTTTCAGATGGATTTGTTGCCTGAGGAGCCCATGTCCACACTGCATCCCCTCCTGCATTGACTGTACCCATTGTGCCATGTGAAATGAAAGAGGCAAACACTGATCGTAAAGCTCTAGGGAAGGGAATTCCTCAGGCATTTCCATTCGAAAGGATGATTGAATGGGAACCCCTGAATTCTCAGCCCTTCTGCCTCCCCCTAG